CAGGAACGATCTCAACCACCGCGACTTCGGTATTCTTTATACCACCAGCGTACTCCATGCCTTCCTTGATATCGATTGCGTTTAATAAGTCGTTGCCAGTCGCTACCCATGACCGCATTTGAGCTTTGGCCACCCCACATACCCGATCACAAACATCTTTACCCTTTTGAACCTCACTGTAATCGCGCGTCAATAATTCAATGCCAAGCTATGAAGTACGATACAATTAAAGTTAAATAATTCAGAAAACAACTCACTCGTTCGCAGATCACCTTCTCGACTTCGGGTGTAGCGTGTGATGAGGAATTACCCGCGTTGTCTGTGCGCTTGTCGAGTGTTTTAATATGAGGATGATCTGTTTTGAACTGTTTAGTAATGATCTCACCAGCACTGAGCGTGTCGAGCTCCGTTTGTGCGGCATCAGTTATAGCACCAATATATGATTCAGTAGAATACGTAGGAGGAGAATGGCTTGGCGTAGTGATGGTAGTTCTCGCAAGTCTCGGGACTGGATCTTTCCAAGCGAACGAGCCGACAAGCACTGACATTCCTTTTTTTCCAAAATATGCACTTTGAGGCTCTCGATGCTCTTCAGGCAAAATTTTTTGATCCCAGTCAAATGTGCAGAGAGCGTCATCTTCGTCCATTTGCGAAATAATCGATTTCTTCTCGCCATCTTGTCGAGCAGCGCGAAGGTTGTGGTGTGACCACTCAACAATATGCTCCGATGCATTTTCGAAATCAAACCTCGCTTCGCGTTGAATGCCCTTGGCAGTAATCTTTTGGATTTTCTGACTGATCTCGTCGAGAGTCACACTAATATTGATACAGGCAGGACAGTGTGCCGTATGTGCATGATTACAATTTGAATGATGCTTAGTGCATTTTGAATCAGAGAGACGAAAGATTACTGCCAAGGGCATNTCTTATTGTTTGAACATGAAAATCAAAACTATTCAGTTATATATATTCAAAGATTGCTAGAATTAGGCAATCGCTCAAGCAATATATATTTGAAGAGGTCTAAAATCCGAAAGTTTTCAAAAGAGTACTCTTACTAAAACAGGCAAGTAAAAACAACAAAAAGCAAAAATCTAGTTCTCGTGTTGTATTATTCATATTTTAAAGGTGCAACTTTTATCTAATCTCTTGGTAAACAATAGACATCTTATAAAGTAAGTATTTACTTTAGAAAACGATGATTAAAGTAATCTATCTCTGTATATCAAAGAGGGAACTTTTTACTTTCATTTTAGTTGGAATGTTTACAAATGGACGCTATAATATCAATATTTTACCGTTTATTAGTAACGTAGGCATGCATTACTCATCATTTCAAAAAGGGAAGTTATTCATGACTAGTTATTCATTTTTCTCATCTCATTTGACGAATTTTCATTGTTCGTTGAAGGAAAGAAAAATGCTTAGTTTAGATATATGAGCCATTCCATATAAGCCACAGCCGATTCTTTATGACAGCGCTCAATCGATATTCTCCGATTTGGTTCATTTTCACATATGTGATAGAGACAAGTCTTTGATGAATTTTAGTAAAAGCCGATTCAAAAAATATTGAACCGTTCGTTTTTTATCTCATTTTTACTGAAAGCACTATAAAATCACTGGAAAACTCACTTTCGCGACAGAAGATTTTGGACACCCCAAAAAATCAACAAGACATCAACTGTTCGTGCTGAAATTTTTTGTACATCAATACCTAACTAAGTTCTACATGTGCCATTAATTTCAGCTCGAACGGTTGAGTGATTGGTATTTTATGGATTCCACGATTTGAGGAAAAATCAATTTTTTGACCAACCTTCGCTGCTCATATCTTCAGATTAGAGAACGACAGAGACCTAAAATTTTGAACAAAAGCACATCTCAATGCTGCCTAACTACCATATAAATTTCAACTCTCTAGAGCAAAGTATTCATGCAGGGTAACTGAAACAAAAATCAATTTTTCGTCAAAAAGTCGGTTTTTGACCTGGATTTTCTCCCAAAACAACCTCTAACTTTTGTATCTATCTGTCCAGCTTTAAAGACCACACTTTGATCTACAACCTGGCATAAAAATAAACTTGGGACGCACGAGAGTCGTTTAGCAATTAATCGATCTTTTATGCAAAAAATGAATTTTACGAACTTCATGTTTGGTACCCCAGTTTTTCTGAATATCTCGTGAATGGTTCATCCGAGAAAGTTGAAACTTTCAGGGATGATAGGTCTCAGACAATAGAGTAAAGTATGTGCTGGAGTCAATTTTCCACAATGTTTGAATCTAGGGACTAGTCGAATCCTATTGGATGAAAATAGACCCAACCATTCTTCTCCTATGTTTTTTCTTACGCTTAAGACGATCGAACTAAAACTTTTCTTACAGGTAGTTGCTTAATCTATTTCTTCGTAGTAAACTTCATCGTCATTCCATACTACCCTTAGGTAGTAGAAATGTAAATTTGCCCTGAGCCAAAACGAAGCGTTTAGTAATATGGTTGTATATTGTCAGGATAATGCACGGAGGAACTAAGTCTTTTTGGTATCATCTTGATCTTAATTGTTGCTCTGAATCACTTGGTTTTCTGTCACAAATCAGTCTATTTGAAATATTATTGTTGTTGTTCAGATAGAATCATAAAATTTTAAAAAACTTGCAAAAAACTGCGCAGAAAATAATCAAAAGTACAGAAGGGAGAAGCCTGATTTATTCAGTATTAATCTTCATGAGTTCAGCCATTAGTTCATGCTTAGGAGTAACACCATGTTTTTGTGCTATTTTTCGGGATCGATACTTAATTTGACTGGCTGTTGGATACTCATGTGTTTGAAAGACCTTCTCTTCATTCTGGTCCCGCTTTGTGCGTATCTGTTGTTGTATTTGTTGTGTGGTGAGCTGCGAGCGGGTTTTTTGTGAATCAAGCCAGAGCTTTTCAATGAAGTTTTTCACATTGTCACTCATAAGGTTGGTATGTTTACGTGTCCGTAGGCTCCACCCGACTGATGAAAACTTTTCGTAATGAGCAGATTTTTTTAGATCAACATGTGACATGTCTTAACTACGAAAAATTGATGTGGCTTGTTGCTGTACGTCGATGCTAGTTGTTCGTATGAGCTCTGTGAGATGAAGCCGACCAATATCATTTGCAGTTCGTCGCTGGTTCTGTTGCACATCATGTAAATTGGCTGCTATGTGAGATTCAAGGTCAGTATTTGACTTGAAGGTCGTCGTACAACCACTTATGGGACATAATGTTAAAAAATGGTGCTTGCGATCGTTTCTCTTGTTTTTAAATCAAATAAAGAATAGTAGAAAAAATAAAGCTATTTTACTGTTTCGGTATTGTATTTGATTCTTGTTCATTAATCGAGCGTCCGAAAGGGCTGGCAATTCCCATGTTTGTTTCAAAGTCGAGCTGTTTGTAAGGAACCGTAAGACCAGTACCGATACCTGATGCCTTAAATACATTCATATTGTCTGAACAGTAGCGTATGGAGCGAAGTGTAGAAACATTTGGCACGTTTCTTTTGTCCAAATGACCTAGTAAACATAATGCGGACATACAATTTTCTTCCGTGTAGAAATGTGTACCTTGGCCTGGAACAATCTCAACCACTGTGACTTTGGTGTTCTTTATACCACCAGCGTACTCCATGCCTTCCTTGATATCGATTGAGTTGAATAAGTCGTTGCCAGTTGCTACCCACGAACGCATTCGAGCTTTGACCACACCACATACTGGAACTCAAATATCTTTACCTTTTTGCACCTCGCTGTAATCGCGCGTCAACAATTCAATACCCAGCTACAGAGTACGACACAGTTAAAGTTAAGTAACTCAGAAAACAACTCACTCTTTCGCAGATCACCTTCTCGGCTTCGGGTGTAGAGTGTGATGAGAAATTACCCGCCTTGTCTGTGCGTTTGTGGAGTTTTTAATATGAGGATGATCAGTTTTGAACTGTTTAGTAATGATCTCACCAGCACTGAGCGTGTCGAGTTCCGTTTGTGCAGCATCAGTTATCGCAACAATATATGATTCAGTAGAATATGTAGGTGGAGAAAAGCTTGTTGTAGTAGTGACTGTGCTCGCAAGTCTCGGTACTCGATCTTTCCAAACGAACGAGCCCACAAGCACTGACATTTCTTTTTTTCCAAAATATGTACTTTGAGCCTCTCGATGCTCTTGAGGCAAAATTTGTTGATCCCAGTCAAATGTGCACAAAGCTTCATCTTCGTCCATTTGCGAAATAACAGATTTCTTCTCGGCATCTTGTCGAGCAGCACGAATATTGTGGCGTGACGACTCAACAATATGCTCCGATGCATTTTCAAAATCAAACCTGGCTTCGCGTTTAACGTCCGTGTCGGCAATCTTTTGGATTTTCTGATTGATCTCGTCAAGAGTCACAATAATATTGATACAGTCAGGACAGTGTGCCGTATGCACATGATTACAATTTGAATGATACGTAGCACACTTGGAATCAGAGAGACCAAACGTGGTACAGTGAGTGATACAATCCGCATCATCAAAACAGTGACCAATGTGCCTGATTTTTTTTATATTGCTCTGCCATATCGGGTCTGTTTAACCAAACGTTTTCGATCAGCTTGAGGAATGGGCATAGTCTCGACAATATCTACAAGTAGAAATAAGTTTGATTTCAGCACCGATGATCCGAATTCTTTTTCCTTACTTGAGAGAGATCGCCATGCTTCTATGCCTTCGACAACAAACTCATCAAGTCCAGCCACTGTTCGTTGTTCTGCTGGTTTGATACTATCGATTATATCGTACAATTTACTCTTTCCTAAACTTTGAAACCCAGTCTCGTCACAGTACTTCGTGTAATCTGCAAGAGCATGAGACCGTTGTGACTGTATAATTTGTTTTGGCAATTCGTACTTTTCTCCATCATCCATACGTAAAGTGGTGAGACCGTATGTGCCTACCAGCAAGAAAAAGATGAATACGAAAAGAAGCATGACGAATAAATTATACTCTACTCGAGACAAGTGTGTTACTTTCAACAAGCCAACTAACAAAGTGTTTAATCTTTTCCGGATCAGCACGCTGTCGGATGACCGGTTCTTGGTCCTTATTTAGCAGGTACTCTTCATCGTCATACATTTGACGAGCTGCTGTGATAGCATGTCGGGTACATCCAAATGTACTCATTACTTTTTCATATTTCCATGAACGATGACTTTGAACCATTTCATTACTTATTGATAGTTGAAATTGTTGTTCTTCTCTAGCTTGTGATTGAAGCTGAGCTATTTGAATTAGTTCTTGGCCTTGGCCAGGCATGAGTGTCTCAGCTAGTTTCTCTAAATTAATTTAATTACCTCAATACTGAGTATAATTTTTATTCGATTCATAATATACCTTGAAGAGCGCTTGATCCTCGTTTAAATTTGGACACTAAACGATGAAGGCCACTTTTTGACTGGTTTTTAATTGATTTAGTTGTTTGAGATCGAACTGAACTTAAATTCACTTCTGTTAGAATGCGATTCATTGTTTCTCGTGGATCATCGATCACGAATGCAGATTCAGCTGTATGTTGAGAAGTTACACTAATAGAAACGGCATCATTCATCATCGACGCAATATTGTCGCCCAACGATGCCAGTTTTCGGTGTTTTGAACATAATCTTAAATCGCAACTTGTTAACTTATTTAGGTTAGTACTGAATGAGAACAAATTTACCTGCCCCCTATTGGAAAACCTTCAATCTTGAGGCAAGTGATGAGCTTTGCTCTTCGACAGTCTTTTATTGATGATCTGTAGCTTGAGTCGTGCTCCGAATGGTGACACGTCGTGTTTCTATTAAACTAATCGATGCCGAAAGAACCTCGGTGCCTGGGACAAATTTTCATATTATTGTCAACAGGAATGCTTTTCCGAAGCAATCGATTGGCGATTAAGTTTTTTTCATTCATAACAATATTATCATCTTCCTTTTTGGAAATGATTCCGTTCTATTTTAAGTACGGTCGAATATCAACCTCGGAGAGGTTAGCAAAAGTAACACATTTTCGCGACCAGCCATAGTGAACTATTTGATAGCAAAAATGATATACCTCTGAATTCATTAATCTATAAAACTCACGGTGGGCAGTTGGTCCACACTCATGTGCTGTCTTATCACTGAAAAGGCAACATTCATCATAGCTGATATTTTCTGGAATTTTCACGTTGACCGTGATGTTGGGCTGTGTTTCCACCTCATCAATCGTCATATCATCTAAAAATAGCTCAATTCTATGTTAACTCAAAGTTATAATTAATACAAACCAGATGATCCGTTCTTTTCATGATGTCGTTCATTGTCAATGTTAGAAAGAATTGACATATATTGTGTGAACATATCTTCCGGACGACTGTAAGGGGTTGAATTGTAATCCTACTCAGAAGTGATGTTCGTATTATAATCATTGCTCTTAGTGAGACAAAACGGACCGGTGTATACATCATCCATGAAAGAGTTGTGTGATACTGTATTTTCAGTTGACGCACTGCTAGCTTTGTTGTCAGGACGAGTATCATAATAACTAGATAGACTCTCTTTGTCCACCGAAAGAGCTTCGTTTCGAAGTGTTCGTGTCTCATCATCAGCTAAACGACTCACATTACTTGTTTCATACTCAAACGTGCTCGGTGCCGCAGAAATCGAAGTTGTATCAGACCAGGTGAAGCTTGAGGACGTACTCATACAAGAGAAAGTAGGATTACAATTCAACCCCTTACAGTCGTCCGGAAGATATGTTCACACAATATATGTCAATTCTTTCTAACATTGACAATGAACGACATCATGAAAAGAACGGATCATCTGGTTTGTATTAATTATAACTTTGAGTTAACATAGAATTGANCTGAGCTAAAACTATTTTACATCGGTAAGTAGTAAAGTCTGGTATCGTTTATAGTACGCTAAAGTAGTGTGTTATAATACCTATGTAGTGGTATTTAGTAATGGATAAGGATTCTCGAGTGTGGTGGTTTTCAGGATTGAACCCTGTGAATTAAATGCAACTCGTGGCGAACGATAGTGGCTGAACGAATAAGTTTTGATCAAATATTTGGAGTACGTGTATGTTGTAAAAATTTTTTTGCTGAGCCACTTTAAATCCTGCTGACACACATGACATTGCCACCATAGTTTCTGTTCAAGATCGACCTATTCGATCTATTATTTTTAGTATGCAAGCCGAATTAGAAGCTTTAAAGCACAAAAATTTGTAAAGCATGAATAGATAATCATCAGCGATAGAAAAGAAGATAGTCTGTGCTATTCAACGTTGACGTCCATGATTTCTGCCATGAGTTCTTGCTTGGCAGTTACACCATATTTTTGAGCTATTTTTCTGGAGCGATGCTTGATTTGGCTTAATGTTGGATATTCATCTGGCTGAAAGAGTTTTTGTCCACTTTCGTCTCTCTTCGAACGTATCTGTTGTTGTATTTGCTGAATGTTAAACTTGGAATGCGACTCTTGAGATTCAAGCCAGAGCTTCTCAATGAAGCTTTTCACGTTGTCACTCATACAATTGGTATGCTTACGAGCTCGCAGTGCCCATCCCATTGATGAAAACTTTTCGTAAAGGGCGAAGGTTGTAAGATCAACATTTGAGATATTTTGACTATGGACAATGGATTTATTCTGCTCTTGTCTGTCCATGCTTGTTGTTCGAATGAGCTCTGTAAGATGTGGCCGAGCAATATCGTTTGTTGTTCGCCGTTTGTTTTGCTGTACGTCGTGTAAATTGGCTGCAATATGCGATTCGAGGTCAGTATCCAATTCAAAGGACGCCGTACAGCCACTTACAGGACATAATGTTAAAAAATGGTGCTTGCGATCACCTCTCCTATTTTGAAATTAAATAAATAATACTACAAAAAGTAAAGTGATGTTACTGTTTCGGTATTGCGCCTGATTCTTGATCATTTATTGAGTTTCCGAAAGGGCTGACAATCCTCATATTTGTTTCAAAGTCTAACTGCTTGTAAGAAATCGTAAGGTCAGTACCGATACCGGATGCCTTGAATACGTTCATATTGTTTGAACCGTATCGGATTGAGCGAAGTGTAGAAACATTCCGTACATTGGTTTTGTCCAAATGACCTTGACAGCAGTATGATAAAGACAAAGTTCTGTTCATCAAGAAGTGCATACCTTTACCGGGAATGATTTCAGCCACCGCGGCTTTGGCGTTCTTTATACCACCAGCGTACTCCATGCCTTCCTTTATATCGATTGCATTCAGTAAGTCGTTACCAGTCGCCACCCACGAACGCATCCGAGCCTTTTCCACGCCGCATATTCTATCACAAATGTCCTTACCTTTTTGAACTTCGCTGTAATCGCGAGTCAATAACTCAATGCCAAGCTATTGAGTAGAAAACAATGAAATATGAGTAGAGCTATGACAGCTATCCTTATAAGAACTGAACTGCTATCAGCTTCCTAGTTCTTTTTAAAAGAACTAGTGGGAGTACTCGGTTCTTCCAAAAAGAACTATTGGAGATATCTAGTTCTCGAAGAAAGAACTAGTGGAGATGCTCAGTTCTTAGAACTGTGAGCTGTCACAGATTTAAATGTGTGCCATTCAAAAAGAATCTTACTCGTTCACAAATCACTTTCTCAACTTCGGGTGTCGAGTGTGATGAAAAATTGCCCGCGTTGTCTGTACGCTTGTGAAGTCTTTTAATATGAGGATGGTCTGCTTTGAACTGTTTTGTGATGATCTCACCAGCACTGAGTGAGTCTAGTTCCGTCTGTGCGGCATCAGTTATAGCAACAATGCATGATTCAGTAGAATACGTAGGAGTCGAAACGTCAGTCATAGTGGTGGCTCTAGTCGCGAGTGTTGGTACTTTATCCTTCCACACGAATGACCCGACCAACACTAACATTCCTTTCTTTCCAAAATATGTACTTTGAGGTTCTCGGTACTGTTGTGGCAAGATTTTTTGGCCCCAGTCGAACATGCAGAAAGCTTCTTCATTGTTCATCTGTGAAATTATGGACTTTTTCTCGGCATCTTGTCGGGCAGCACGAAGATTGATTCGCGACCACTCAATAATATGTTCCGATGCATTTTCGAAATCAAACTTGGCTTTTCGTTGAATATCCTTGTCGGTGATCTTCTGGATTTTTTGACCGATCTCGTCGAGAGTAAGAATAATATTGACACAGTCAGGACATTCCGATGTATGTGTATGATTACAATCTGAATAATGTTAAGTACATTTAGGATCAGAAAGACCAAATGTAGTGCAATGAGTGATACAATCCGCATCGTCGGAACAGTGACCACTGTGCCTGATCTTTTGATATTGCTCTGCCACATCGACCTGTTTAAACAAACGTTTTCGATCAGCTTGAGGAATCGGCATTGTGTCGACAATATCTAGAAAGAGAAAAGCATTCGATTTAAAATTCAATATACTAATGCTTTTCTAATACTCGAGAGAGACCGCCACGCTTCAATGCCTTCGACAACGAACTCATCAAGTCCAGCCACCGTTCGTTGTTGTGCTGGTTTAATGTTATCGATTATATCGTACAATTTGCTCTTTCCTAGACTTTCGAATCCAGTTTCATCACAATACTTCTTGTAATCAACAAGAGCATGAGACCGTTGTGATTGAATAATTTGCTTCGGTAGCTCATACTTATCTCCATTATCCATACGTAAAGTAGTGAGACCGTATGTGCCTATCAGTAGAAAAAAGATGAATACGATATTAAGCTTGGCGCATAAATTAGATTTCACCTGAAACAAGAGTGTTGCTTTCAACTAGCCAACTAACAAAATGTTTAATCTTGTCAGGATCAGCACGCTCTCGAATGAATGGCTCCTTATCTCTATTTAATAGGTATTCTTCATCATCATACATGCGATGAGCCACTACGATAGCATGCCGGGTATACCCGAATATATTAATAACTTTTTCAATTTTCCATGAACGAGGTAACAATGAAAGAAGTCGAACTTGTTCGATGAAGGGCATCCTCTGCTGGACGTACATATGATAGACCTGTTTGAGACTTTGAACCATCTCATTGTTTATTGACTGTTGAAGTTGTTCTTGTTCTTGAGCTTGTGATTGAAGCTGAGCTATATAAATTAGTTCTTGGCCTTGGCCAGGGACGAGTGCATCAGCTAGCTTCTCTAAATTAATTTAATTAGTTATGTATCGAGTATGGTTTTCAATCTGTTCGCAATATACCCTGAAGAGCGCGTGATCCTCGAGTGAATTTGGACACTAACCGACGAAGGGCACTTTTTGATTGTTTTTTAAGTGACTTGGTTGCTTGAGATCGAACTGGGCTCAGGTTCACTTCTGCTAGAATGCGATTTATTGTTTCTCGCGAATTATCGATTACAAATTCAGAACCGCCTGTATCTCGAGAAGCTGCACTAATCGATACAGCGTCATTAATCATTGATGATATATTATCAATCATCGATGTCAGCTTCTGATCTTTTGAGCACAACCTTAAATCACAACTTGCTGATTTGTTCTGATTAGCTTTCGAACAAAACAGAGTTACCTGCCACCAATTGGAAAGCCTTCAATCTTGAGACAAGTAGTGAGTTTTGCTCGCCGACAGTCTTTCATTGAAGAACCGTAGCTTGAGTCGTGATCTGAATGATGACATGTCGTCTTTTTATTAAACCAATCGATGCCGAAAGAACTACGATGTTTCGGGCAAATCCACATGCTATCATCCACAAGGACGTTTTTTCGAAACAACCGATTCGCAATTAAGTTTTTTTCATTCATAATAGTGTTGTCATCTTCCTTTCTAGAAATGAGTCCATTATATTTTAAATAAGATCGAATATCAAACTCAGAAAGGGCGGCAAATGTAACACACCCTTGCGACTAGCCGTCATGATCTACATGGTAGCAGAAAATATATTGTTAGATTCAACAATCTGTATAACTCACGGTGTGAAGTTGGCCCACACTCATTCACTGTTTTATCACCAAAAAGACAACATTCATCATAGCTGATAGTTTCCGGAATCGTGACGTTAGTTACGCTGCTAGGCTGCATCTCCACCTCATTGGTCACCATGCCATCTGAAAATAGTGTGGATGGAAATAAGGTGAAAAATTTAATTGATACAAACCAGATGATTTGTTCCCATCATTATGTCCGTCATCTTCAGTGTCAGAAAACATTCTCACGTATGGCGTGAACATGTCTTCCGCACGACTGACAGGATTTGAATTGTAATCCCACTCAGAAGTGATGTTCGCATAACAATCGTTGCTCTTAGTGAGAAAAAACGAACCAGTAGATACATCAGCCATGAAAGCATTGCTTGATATTGTTTTTTCAATTGGCGTACTATTATCTTCACTGACAGGACGAGTATCATAGTAACTAGATTGACTTCCTTTGTCCAGCGAAAGAGTTTCAGTTCGAAGTGTTCGTGTCTCATCATCAATTGAACGACTCGCATGGCTTGGTTGATATTCAGACGTGCTCGGAGCCATAGAGATCGAAGTTTTATCAGAACATGTAAAGTTTGAGGATATACTCATACACGAGAAAGTACGAGGAATTTGAGAGATGGATGACAAGTCATTATCATTGTCTGGTGTCATGGAACAAGTTGACGATGCAAATATTCTCGATGCTCCATCGCTGTCCGTACTTGAATCTGCATAGTTTCGTGATAGTAAATACGGTGGCAGACCTCAACCAGGTTGATAACGAGAAGCATTTTGATCAGTCATTTTTTATGAATAGTATGTTCTTTTTTAGTTGTCCTTTATATACTGCGATTTACTCATGTAATGTCTTGTCTTCTTCACAAACATCACTAGTTATTTATTTTTGTGAAGAATTCGGATAGCAATCACATTAATTTTCAAAACAAACATTTTTTTATTGTTTCTTTAAATGTTTTATCTTTTTCTTTGTTGATATGCGCTTACTGGATGCATTAAACGCAACATATGATATTTTACTCTAGTACAAAAAAGAAAAGAAAGAAAAAAACGCAATGTGCTACTCAAACCCGTGTTATTTTTATTCTTTTGAATATACTTGATTATTGCACATACGCCTTCTCTCTCTGTGTCTGCGTAATTTATTCATTCTTGTTTCGATGAAATACGTGGATCTATGCCACGCAACATAGATATAGCATTATAAACCATCAGATAACTACGAAGTAGTATGTGTCAATATCGTCTCGCATCAAGATAACTTGATAATCGCTTAAGAAATCAAATAATTCAATGATCTCTGTTTCTTCAGTTACTCGTAAGATAATAGAATCGAGACGTAATCAGAGGTCCACAATTTGAAGTGAAATAATGAATTTGATTGCAAAGATAATTTAGTATGCTTCTCTTAAACAAAAAAGCATACTAAGTAGATGAATCTAAGACACAGTCATCACTACTTAGAAGATTCGGAGCCAGTCAAGTTGCCATTGACCTATTATAATTGTTTCTTCCACTATCACAAACATTTGACATACACCCCAGAGAATAAAAAAATGAAGAAAAATCATTGTGAAAATGATGAAACAGAAAAAAATTCATTTATTTCATTTTCATCGACTGAAATGGAAATTTTAATAAAATTCATCGAATAAAAGTGATTAAAAATCAAAATCACAAAATGAGATCTATGAAACTGAAACATAAATTTTTTCCGGTTTCGTCATCAAAAATGTCATTTTTTCATGTTTTTCACATGACAGTTATCGTTTTTATTTTCATTTTTTTATTACATGGAACGGTACGCTTATTCAACATCTTACAAACATCAAATTACTATTTAAACTCATTTTAGTTAGCTTTTTCATTTTTGTTTCGATCTTTATAGATTATAACAGTGTTTTTTTCTGTTTGCTTTCCATACCCTCTAATGATTGGCAAAGCACCTCTGCTCCCGCCTATGTTATATATGTTCGGTTACTGAATCAGTACTGACATCAAAGCTCTTCGACTTCGTTTCAACTTGAAGCGCATGCATCATCATCATCTTACTTGTAAAACCTTCTCTTTCTTAAATTACTTTTTCCAAAGATAAGCTTTTCCACAAAAGCATTCACGAGCTCTTTCAATAGCTTTAGCCGGTATCGTGAATATCACCGATCTCTTTTCTTCCTTAACTAGGTACTGTCTAGTGTGTATCCTGCTATTTCTTAAGAAATATTGCTCTAATTAATAAGAACAAGTTGTTAAAGTGTTACTAATCAGGCAAAAGTACCTTTTTGAACTTTCCCAATATTCTATATTTTCTTTGAAAGGAAAAACGCCGTTCTAAAACATTGAGCAAGAGGTAAAACTACTGTAAATAAATGGGACTACCGATGTAAAAAACAAGTTTTAGCTCAATTGGTTTAAGCATACTAGAAAATATGGAAGTAGAACAATAAACTTAATTTTTAGCCGATCAGATTCGAGTATCCTATAATTACATGCATGGTACAAAGTTNATCGGTTTTGAACTGTCTGGTGATGATCTCGCCAGCACTAAGTGAGTCGAGTTCTGTCTGTGCAGCATTAGTTAAAACAACAATGTACGATTCAGTAGAATAAGCAGGAGGAGAAAGGGTAGGGGTAGTGGTCGCTGTAGTTGCAAGTGACGGTGCTGGATCTTTCCACACGAACGACCCGACGACTATTGACATACCTTTTTTTCCAAAATATTTACTTTGAGTTTCTCGGTGATCTTGAGGCAAGATTTTTTGACCCCAGTCGAACGTGCAGAAAGCTTCATCATCATCCATCTGCGAGATGATCGATTTCTTCTCGGCATCTTGCCGAGCAGCACGAAGGTTGTGGCGTGACCACTCAATAATATGCTCGGATGCATTTTCGAAGTCAAACTTAGCTTCACGTTGAATATCCTTGTCGGTAATCTTTTCGATCTTCTGACCGATCTCGTCGAGAGTCAGAACAATGTTGGCACAGTCCGGGCAGTCCGATGTATGTGCATGATTACAATCGGAACGATGTTGAGCACACATTGGATCAGAAAGGCCAAATGTAGTACAATGAGTGATGCAGTCCGCATTATCAGAGCAATGACCACTGTGTCTAATTTTTTGATATTGTTCAGCCATATCGATTTGTTTGAGCAAACGTTTTCGATCAACCTGAGGAATAGGCATTGCGTCAACAATAACTAGGAAGAAAGTACAGTTTTCTTATAGGACCCAGTCATGCGAATAGTTTTCTTTTACTTGAGAGAGAACGCCATGCTTCGACACCTTCGACAACAAACTCATCAAGCCCAGCCACTGCTCGTTGTTGTGCTGGTTTAATGCTGTTGATAATGTCGTACAATTTACTTTTTCCCAAACTCTGAAACCCAGTCTCGTCACAATACTTCTTGTAATCCACAAGAGCGTGTGTTCGTTGAGACTGAATAATTTGCTTCGGCAAATCGTACTTTTCCCCATTGTCCATGCGTAAAGTGGTGAGACCGTATGTACCTATCAGCAGCAGAAAGATGAATTCGACATGAAACAAGACAAATAAATTAGCTCTACCTGAAACAAGTGTGTTACTTTCGACGAGCCAACTAACAAAATGTTTGATCTTTTCGGGATCAGCTCGTTGTCGAATAGGCGACTCCTTGTCCCTATTCAACAAGTATTCTTCATCGTCATACATTCGATGAGCTGCTGTGATAGCGTGTCGAGAACAC